GGTGTTTAGTGACTATAGGTTACTATTTCCTAGTAACGTCTACATCGTTGTCCTCAGAAGTCTTCCCCATTTGAGTAAAACACTGGACGGAGTCTGTCCACGGACTGCCGCATGCCCTTGGTCACTCCCTTGGTGTCTCTGAGGACAGCTTCTGTAGGATGGAGAGACCACATGTTTGCCTAACTTTGAAGATGTATCCGTGGCTTTGAGAACTAAAATGTAAACTGACCCACACATTTATCGTTTGAGGTTAGTGTGACCTTGATTCCAAAACCAGATAAGGACAGCACAAGAAGAGAAACCACAGGCCCCAATGTACTCTAGAACATTCCAAGTACAATACTGGCTAACAGAATCCGACAGTGTGTGTAAGAAGTAATCATACGTCATGTTCAAGTAGGATTTATTACAGAATAAATGCAAGGCTGATTCACATCAGAAAAATCAGTGTTAAGACTCTAAAGAAAAATAGTATCAATAAATAGAATACATATATTTTACCAAATTCATTCCCGAATTGTGAGTCAAAATCCCCCCAAAACAAAAAACAGCTAACAATTAAAGGGTTCTTCCTAAAATTGATCAAGACTACACAACACCACAAAATCCTAGAGCCGGGTCATGCATCATGGAGAAAGTCTGACTTGTTTTCATTAAGATCTGGAATAAAACAAGGACGCTCCCTCTCCCCTAGTCCTTTAACGCAATATCGGAGGTCGTGGTTGAGGTTATTCAGAAGAAATAAAAACACATTTAAAGATCTAAGGAAAAGAAGCGAAAACACGCCGGCTTTCATTCGACTTCACAACTCACTTTTCTCCACAATCCAGTTGTAGTCTCTCTGCTCCCGGGAGGTCAAGTCTGATGCTTTTATTAACATCCAAGACAGCGCCTAGTGGCAGTGGATACTAATCTGCAAAAGGGGATCCTATCTAAGTTAGGAAGTAGGTAAGAAGACGAAATAAGAAGAAAACAGAGTGGAAACGACTGTACACATGCTAGAGAGGCTCTCTTTCCTGATAATCCGTTTTCAGAAGGCAGTTTCTCCGTGCCGTTTCCCCCCTCCCCACCAAGCTCCAGCTATCGCCCCTCGGCCTCCCAGCGCCCCGAAAACCCCGCTCGCGAGCCGCCTTCCTGGCGCCGGCCAGCAGGTGGCGCCCGACCTCCACCGGCCGGACCCGGACGAGTGGCCGGAGCTGCGCCGCCGAAAGCCTCCTCCGAAAGGTGCCGCTTTTCCTGGACGGTGCTGCTACTCTGGGTCGTCGTCCAAACGTTGCAAACGGTCCCCGGCTTCCAGGGACCGCGCAGGTGCTCGAGAGCCCCACCCCGGCCGCACCGCTTCCTCTGGAAAGCCTGCGAGCCCTTGCACAGGACCTGCCGTCCGGGTCTGATCCTCTCGCCGGTCCGAGCGGACCACGAGAGGCTGGGGGCGACCGGGAGCCGGCGTCCGCGCCCCCACCCTGTCGTCCCCGGAGGACAGGATGGGGTGGG